ACGCTCCTGGACCAGGCAAGCTCCTGGACCATGCAAGCTCCTGTACTAGGCAAGCTCGTGGACCAGGCACGCTCCTGGACCAGGCGAGCTCCTAGATTAGGCAAGCTACTGGAGTAAGCAAGCTCCTGGACCTGGCAAGCTCCTGGACCAGGCAAACTCGTGCACCAAGCAAGCTCGTGGACCAGACAAGCACCTGGACTAGGCAAGCTCCTGGACCAGGCAAACTCCTGGACTAGGCAAGCTCCTCTACCAGGCAAGTTCGCGGATCACGCACGCTCTTGGACCAGGCAACCTCCTGGACCAGGCAAGCTCCTGGACCAGGCAAGCTCCTGGACCAGGCAAGCTCGTAGACCAGGCAAGCTCGTGGACAAGGCAAGCTCGTGGACCAGGCAAGCTCCTGGACCAGGCAAGCTCCTGGACCAGGCAGGCTCGTGGACCAGGCAAGCTCCTGGACCACGCACCCTCGTGGACCAGGCACGATTCTGGACCAGGCAAGCTCCTTGACCAGGCAAGCTCCTGGACCACGCAGGCTCTTGGACCTGGCAAGCTCCTAGACCACGCAAGCTCTTGGACAAGGCACGCTCCTGCAGAAGGCAAGCTCTTGGACCAGGCAGGCTTCTCGACCAAGCAAGCTCCTGGACCAGGCAAGCTCCTGGACCAGGAAAGCTCCTGGACCAGGCAAGCTCCTTGACTGGGCAAGCTCTTGGATCATTTATGCTCCTGGACCAAGCAAGCTCTTGGACGAGGCAAGCTGTTAGACCAGGCAAGCTCCTAGACCAGGCAGGCTCCTAGACTACGCAAGCTCCTGGACCACGCAAGCTCCTGGACCAAGCAAGCTCCTGGACCAGGCAAACTCGTGGACCAGGCAAGCTCCTGGACCAGGCAAGTTCCTGGACGAGGCAAGCTCCTAGACCAGGCAAGCTCCTGGACCAGGCAAGCTCTTGGACCAGGCAAATTCGTGGACCAGGCAAGCTCCTGAACCACGCAAACACGTGGACCAGGCACGCTCCTGGACCAGGCAAGCTCCTGGACCAGGCAAGATCCAAGACCAAGCAAGCTCCTGGACCACGCAAGCTCCTGGACCGGGCAATCTTGTGGACCAGGCAAGCTCCTGGACCAGGCAAGCTCTTGGACCAGGCACGCTCCTGGACCAAGCAAGCACTTGGACCAGGCAAGTTGTTGGACCAGGCAAGCTCCTAGATTTGGCAAGCTCCTTGACTAGGCAAGCTTGTGGACCAAGCACGCTCCAGGACCTGGCAAGCTCCTAGACCAGGCAAGCTCCAAGACAAGGCAGGCTCCTGGACCAGGCAAGCTCCTAGACCAGGCAAGCTCCTGGACCAGGGAAGCTCCCGGACCAGGCAAGCTCCTGGACCAGGCAAGATCCTGGACCAGGCAAGCTCTTGGACCAGGCAAGCTCTTGGACCAGGCAAGCTCGTGGACCAGGCATGCTCCTGGACTAGGCAAGATCCTAGACCAGGCAAGCTCTTGGACTAGGCAAGTCCTGGATCAGGCAAGCTCCTGGACCAGGCACGCTCCTGGTTCTGGCAAGCTGTTAGACCAGGCAAGCTCCTAGACCAGGCAAGCTCCTGGACCAAGCACGCTCCTGGACGAGGCAAGCTCCTGGACCAGGCAAGCTCTTGGACCAGGCAAGCTCGTGGACCAGGCATGCTCCTGGACCAGGCAAGATCCTAGTCCAGGTAAGCTCTTGGACCAGGCAAGCTCCTGGATCAGGCTAGCTCCTGGACCAGGCACGCTCCTGGACCAGGCAAGCTGTTAGACCAGGCAAGCTCCTGGACCAGGCACGCTCCTGGACCAGGCACACTCCTGGACCACGCACGCTCCTGGACCAGGCATGCTCCTGGACCAGGCACGCTCCTGGACCAGGCAAGCTCCTGGACCAGGCAATGTCCTGCACCAGGCAAGCTCCTGGACCAGGCAAGCTCTAGGACCAGGCAGGCTCCTGGACCAGGCAAGCTCCTGGACCAGGCATGCTCCTGAACCAGGCAAGCTCCTGGACTAGGCAAGCTCCTAGACCAGGCAAGCTACTAGATCAGGCAAGCTCCTGGACTAGGCACGCTCCTGGACCAGGCAAGCTGTTAGACCAGGCAAGCTCCTGGACCAGGCGCGCTCCTGGACCAGGCACGCTCCTGGACCAGGCACGCTCCTGGACCAGGCACGCTCCTGGACCAGGCACGCTCCTAGGACCAGGCACGCTCCTGGACCAGGCAAGCTCCTGGACCAGGCAAGCTCCTGGACCAGGCAAGCTCCTGGACTAGGCAAGCTCCTAGACTAGGCAAGCTCCTGGACTAGGCAAGCTCCTGGACCAGGCAAGCTCTTGGACAAGGCACGCTCCTTAACCAGGCAAGCTCTTGGACCAGGCAGGCTTCTGGACCAAGCAAGCTCCTGGACCAGGCAAGCTCTTGGACCAGGCAAGCTCCTGAACCAGCCAAGCTCCTGGACTAGGCAAGCTCTTGGACCAGGCAAGCTCCTGGACCAGGCACGCTCCTGGACCAGGCAATCTGTTAGACCAGGCAAGCTCCTGGACCAGGCACGCTCCTGTACCAGGCACGCTCCTGGACCATGCACGCTCGAGGACCAGGCACGCTCCTGGACCAGGCAAGCTCCTGGACCAGGCAAGCTCCTGGACTAGGCAAGCTCCTGCACCAGGCAAGCTCCTGGACCAGGCAAGCTCCTGGACTAGGCAAGCTCCTGGACCAGGCAAGCTCCTGGACTAGGCAAGCTCCTGGACCAGGCAAGCTCTTGGACAAGGCACGCTTCTTAACCAGGCAAGCTCTTGGACCAGGCAGGCTTCTGGACCAAGCAAGCTCCTGGACAAGACACGTTCCTGGAACAGGCAAGCTCGTTGACCAGGCAAGCTCCTAAACCAGGCAAGCTCGTGGACAAGGCAAGCTCCTCGATCAGGCAAGCTCCTAGACCAGGCACGCTGCTGGACCAGAAAAGCTCCTAGACTAGGCAAGCTCCTGGACCAGGCACGCTCCTCGACCAGGCAAGCTCCTAGACCAGGCAAGCTCCTGGACCAGGCAAGCTCTTGGACCAGGCAAGCTCCTGGACCACGCAAGCTCTAGGACCAGGCAAGCTCTTGGACCAGGCAAGATCCTGGACCAGGCAAGCTCTTGGACCAGGCAAGCTCCTGGACCAGGCAAGAACATAGACAAGGCAAGCTCCTTGAACAGGCAAGCTCCTAGACCAAGCACGCTCCTGGACCAGGCAAGCTCCTGCATCAAGCAAGCTCCTGGACCAGGCACGCTCGTGGACCAGGCAAGCTGCTAGGACAAGGCAAGCTACTGGACCACGCAATCTCTTGGACCAGGCATGCTCTTGGACCAGGCAAGCTCTTGGCCGAGGAACGCTTCTGGACCAAGCAAGCTCCTGGACCAGGCAAGCTCCTGGACCAGCAAGCTCGTAGACCAGGCAAGCTCCTGGACAAGGCAAGCTCCTGGACCACGCAAGCTCCTGGACTAGGCAAGCTCTTGGTCCAGGCAAGCTCCTGGACAAGGCAAGCTCCTGGACCAGGCAAGCTCCTCGACCAGGCACACTCCTCGACAGGCACGCTCTTCGACCAGGCAAGCTCTTCGACTAGGCAAGCTCCTGGACCAAGCAAGCTCTTGGACCAGGCGACTTCTGGACCAAGCAAGCTCCACAACCAGGCACACTCCTGGACCAGGCACGCTCCTCGATAAGGCAAGCTCCTGGAAAAGACAAGCTCCTGGACCAGGCAAGCTCCTAGACCAGGCACACTCCTGGACCAGGCACGCTCATGGACTAGGCAAGCTCCTAGACCAGGCAAGCTCCTGGACAAGGCAAGCTCGTGGACCACTCACGCTCCTGGACCACACAAGCTCCTAGACCAGGCAAGCTCCTGGACGAGGCAAGCTCCTGGACTAGGCAAACTCGTGGACCAGGCACGCTCCTGGACCAAGCAAGATCCTGGACAAGGCAAGCTCATGGACGAAGCAAGCTCCTGGATCACGCAAGCTCCTGGACCAAGCACGCTCCTAGACCAGGCAAGCTCCTAGACCAGGCAAGGTCGTGGGCCAGGCAAGCTCCTGGACCAGGCAAGCTTGTGGACTAGGCAAGCTCTTGGACCAGGCAAGCTCTTGGACTAGGCAAGCTCTTGGACCAGGCAAGCTCGTGGACCAGGCAAGCTCCTTGACCAGGCACGCTCCTAGACGAGGCAAGCTCATGGACTAGGCACGCTCCTAGACAAGACACATTCCAAGACCAGGCACGCTCCAGGACCAGGCCAGCTCCTGGACCAGGCAAGCTACTTGATGAGGCAAGCTCCTGGACCAGGCAAGCTCTTGGTCCCGGCATGCACCTGGACCTGACAAGCTCTTGCACCTGGCAAGCTCTTGGACCAGTGAAGCTCCAGGACCAGGCAAGCTCTTGGACCAGGCAAGCTCCTGGACCAGGGAAGCTCCTCGACCAAGGACGCTCCTGGACCAGACAAGCTCTAGGACGAGGCTAGCTCGTGGACCAGGCAAGCACCTAGACCAGGCACGATCGTGGACCAGGCAAGCTCCTGGACCAGGCACGCTCCTGGACCAGGCGCATTTTAGCTTCAGGCACGCTTTTGGACCAGGCCAGCTCCTGGTCCAGGCAAGCTCCTTGACGAGGCAACCTCCTCGACCAGGCAAGCTCTTAGACTAGGCATGCTCCTGGACTAGGCAAGCTTGGACCGAGCAAGCTCTTGGACCAAGCAAGCTCCTGGACCAGGCAAGCTCTTGGACAAGGCAAGCTTTTGGATCAGGCAAGCTCCTTGTCCAAGCAAGCTCCTAGATCAGGCACGCTCCTGGACCAGGAAAGCTCTTGGACCAGGCAAGCTCCTTGATAAGGCAAGCTCTTCGACGAGGCAAGCTCATGGACCAGGTAAGCTCCTCGACCACGCAAGCTCTTGGACGAGGCAAGCTCCTGGACCAGGCAAGCTCCTAGACAAGGCAAGCTCCTGGACCAGGCAAGCTTCTGGACCAAGCAAGCTCCTAGGACCAGGCAAGCTCCTGGATCACGCAAGCCCATGGACCAGGCACGCTCCTCGACCACGCAAGCTCCACGTCGATGTCCACGTCCACGTCCACGTCCACATCCATGTCCACGTCCACGTCCACTTCCACGTCCACGTCCACATCCACGTCCATGTCCACGTCCACGTCCACGTCCACGACCATGTCCACGTCCACGTCCACGTCCACGTCCACGTCCATGTCAACGTCCAAGTCCTCCACGTCCACGACCACGTCCACGTCCACGTCCACGTCAACGTCCACGTCCACGACCACGTCTACGTCCACGTCCACGTCCACGTCCTCCACGTCCACGTCCTCCACGTCCACGTCCTCCACGTCCTCCACGTCCACGTCCTCCACGTCCACGTCCATATCCACGTCCATGACCACGTCCACGTCCACGTCCACGACCACGACCACATCTATGTCCACGTCCACATCTATGTCCACGTCCACGTCCACGTCTATGTCCACGTCCACGTCCACGTCCATGACCACGTCCATGTCCACGTCAACGTCCATGTCCACGTCCACGTCCACGTCCACGACCATGTCCATGTCCACGTCCATGTCCACGTCCATGTCCATGTCCACGACCATGTCCATGTCCACGACCATGTCCATGTCCACGTCCACGTCCACGACCATGTCCATGTCCACGACCATGTCCATGTCCACGTCCATGTCCATGTCCACGACCATGTCCATGTCTACGTCCACGTCCACGACCATGTCCATGTCCACGACCATGTCCATGTCCACGTCCATGTCAACGTCCATGTCCATGTCCACGTCCACGTCCACGTCCATGTCCACGTCCACGTCCACGTCCACGTCCACGTCCACGTCCAGGACCACGTCCACGTCCACCTCCACGTCCACGTCCACGTCCATGTCCACGTCCACGTCCACGTCCACGACCATGTCCACGTCCACGTCCACGTCCACGTCCATGTCCACGTCCACGTCCACGTTCACGTGTACGTCCATGTCCACGTCCACGTCCACGTCCTTGTCCTCCTCCTCGTCCACGTCCACGTCCACGTCCACGTCAACGTCCACGTCCACGTCCATGTCCTCCACGTCCACGTCCACGTCCACGTCCACGTCCACGTCTACGTGCACGTCAACGTCCAGGTCCAGGTCCAGGTCCACGTCCACGTCCACGTCCACGTCCAGGTCCACGTCCATGTCCACGTCCACGTCCACGTCCACGTCCACGTCCACGTCCATGTCCACGTCCACGTCCACGTCAACGTCCACGTCCACGTCCACGTCCATGTCCTCCACGTCCACGTCCACGTCCACGTGCACGTCAACGTCCAGGTCCAGGTCCACGTCCACGTCCACGTCCACGTCCACGTCCACGTCCACGTCCACGTCCTCGTCCACGTCCTCGTCCACGTCCACGTCCACATCCACGTCCACGTCCACGTCCTCGTCCTCGTCCACGTCCACGTCCACGTCCACGTCCATGTCCTCCACGTCCACGTCCACGTCCAGGTCCACGTCCACGTGCACGTCAACGTCCAGGTCCACGTCCACGTCCACGTCCACGTCCACCTCCACGTGCACGTCCACGTCCAGTCCACGTCCACGTCAATGTCCATGTCCACGTCCACGTCCACGTCCATGTCCACGTCCACGTCCATTTCTACGTCCACGTCCACGTCCACGTCCACGTCCATGTCCTCCACGTCCACGTCCACGTCCTCGTCCAGATCCACGTCAACATCCAGGTCCACGTCCGCGTCGACGTCCACGTCCATGTCCACGTCCGCGTCAACGTCCACGTCCACGTCCACGTCCATTTCTACGTCCACGTCCACGTCCACGTCCACGTCCACGTCCATGTCCTCCACGTCCACCTCCACGTCCAGGTCCACGTGCCATCGACGTCCAGGTCCACGTCCACGTCCACGTCCACGTCCACGTCCATGTCCACGTCCACGTCCACGTCCTCCACGTCCACGTCCACGTCCACGCGCACGTCAACGTCCAGGTCCACGTCCACGTCAACGTCCAGGTCCACATCCACGTCCACGTCCACGTCCACGTCCACGTCCTCCTCCTCGTCCACGTCCACGTCCACGTCCACGTCCACGTCCACGTCCACCTCCACGTCCACGTCCACGTCCACGTCCACGTCTAGTCCACGTCCACGTCCACGTCCACGTCCACGTCCACGTCCATTTCCACGTCCACGTCCACGTCCACGTCCACGTCCACGTCCATGTCCTCCACGTCCACGTCCACGTCCATGTCCTCCACGTCCACGTCCACGTCCACGTCAACGTCCAGGTCCACGTCCACGTCCACGTCCACGACCACGTCCACGACCACGTCCACGTCCACGTCCACGTCCACGTCCACGTCCATCCACGTCCACGTCCACGTCCTCGTCCTCATCCACGTCCACGTCCATGTCCACGTCCACGTCCACGTCCACCTCCACGTCCACGTCCTCCACGTCCACGTCCACGTCCACGCGCACGTCAACGTCCAGGTCCACGTCCACGTCAACGTCCAGGTCCACGTCCACGTCCACCTCCATTTCTACGTCCACGTCCACATCCACGTCCACGTCCACGTCAACGTCCATGTCCACGTCCATGTCTACGTCCACGTCCACGTCCATGTCCACGTCCACGTCCACGTCCACGTCCATTTCTACGTCCATGTCCACGTCCACGTCCACGTCCACGTCCATTTCTACGTCCATGTCCACGTCCACGTCCACGTCCATGTCCATGTCCATGTCCACGTCCATGTCGACGTCCACGTCCACGTCCATGTCCATGTGCATGTCCACGTCCACGTCCATGTCTACGTCCACGTCCACGTCCACGTCCACGTCCATGTCCACGTCCATGTCCACGTCCATGTCCACGTCCAGGTCCACGTCCAGGTCCACGTCCATGTCCACGTCCACTTCCACGTCCACGTCCACGTCCACGTCCACGTCCAGTTCCACGTCCAGGTCCAGGTCCAGGTCCACGTCCACGTCCACGTCCACTTCCACGTCCACGTCCACGTCCACGTCCACGTCCACGTCCACGTCCTCCACGTCCTCGTCCACGTCCTCCACGTCCATGTCCACGTCCTCCACGTCCACGTCCTCCACGTCCACGTCCACAACCACGTCCACGTCCATGTCCACGACCACGACCACGTCCATGTCCACGTCCACGTCCATGACCACGTCCACGTCCACGTCCACGACCACGACCACGTCCAAGTTCACGTCCACGTCCACGTCCACGTCCACGTCCATGACCACGTCCACGTCCACGTCCACGACCACGTCCACGTCCACGTCCACGTCCATGTCCACGTGCACGTGCACGTCCACCTCCATGTCCACGTCCATGTCTACGTCTACGTCCACGTCCACGTCCACGTCCACGTCCATGTCCACGTCCACGTCCATGTCCACGTCCACGTCCACTTCTACGTCCACGTCCACGTCCACGTCCACGTCCACGTCCATTTCTACGTCCACGTCCACGTCCACGTCCACGTCCACGTCCACGTCTACGTCCATGTCCACGTCCACGTCCACGTCCACGTCCAAGTCCACGTCCAAGTCCACGTCCATGTCCATGTCCACGTCCATGTCCACGTCCACGTCCACGTCCATGTCCACGTCCACGTCCACGTCCACGTCCACGTCCACGTCTACGTCTACGTCCACGTCCACGTCCACGTCCACGTCCACGTCCACGTCCACGTCCACGTCCACGTCCACGTCCACGTCCACGTCCATGTCCACGTCCACGTCCACGTCCATGTCCACGTCCACGTCCACATCCACGTCCACGTCCATGTCCACGTCCACGTCCATGTCCACGTCCACGTCCACGTCCACGTCCATGTCCACGTCCATGTCCACGTCCTTGTCCACGTCACGTCCATGTCCAAGTCCACGTCCATGTCCACGTCCACGTTCACTTCTACGTCCACGTCCACGTCCACGTCCACGTCCACGTCCATTTCTACGTCCACGTCCACGTCCACGTCCACGTCCATGTCCACGTCCACGTCCATGTCCACGTCCACGTCCACGTCCACGTCCAAGTCCACCGTCCATGTCCACGTCCATGTCCACGTCCACGTCCACGTCTACGTCCACGTCTACGTCCACGTCCACATCCACGTCCACGTCCATGTCCACGTCCTCGTCTACGTCCACGTCCACGTCCACGTCCACGTCCACGTCCACGTCCACGTCCACGTCCACGTCCATGTCCATGTCCATGTCCACGTCCACGTCCATGTCTACGTCCACGTCCACGTCCACGTCCACGTCCATGTCCACGTCCATGTCCACGTCCATGTCCACGTCCAGGTTCACGTCCAGGTCCACGTCCATGTCCACGTCCATGTCTACGTCCACGTCCACGTCCATGTCCATGTCCACGTCCACGTCCATGTCCACGTCCACGTCCACGTCTACGTCCACGTCCATGTCCACGTCCCGTCCACGTCTACGTCCACGTCCACGTCCACATCCACGTCCACGTCCACGTCCACGTCCATGTCCACGTCCTCGTCTACGTCCACGTCCACGTCCACGTCCACGTCCACGTCCACGTCCACGTCCACGTCCACGTACACGTCCATGTCCATGTCCATGTCCACGTCCACGTCCATGTCTACGTCCACGTCCACGTCCACGTCCACGTCCATGTCCACGTCCATGTCCACGTCCATGTCCACGTCCAGGTTCACGTCCAGGTCCACGTCCATGTCCACGTCCACTTCCACGTCGACGTCCACGTCCACGTCCACGTCCAGTTCCACGCCCAGGTCCACGTCCAGGTCCACGTCCACGTCCACGTCCACTTCCACGTCCACGTCCACGTCCACGTCCACGTCCACGTCCTCCACGTCCTCGTCCACGTCCTCCACGTCCATGTCCACGTCCTCCACGTCCACGTCCTCCACGTCCACGTCCACAACCACGTCCACGTCCATGTCCACGACCACGACCACGTCCATGTCCACGTCCACGTCCATGACCACGTCCACGTCCACGTCCACGACCACGACCACGTCCAAGTTCACGTCCACGTCCACGTCCACGTCCACGTCCATGACCACGTCCACGTCCACGTCCACGACCACGTCCACGTCCACGTCCACGTCCATGTCCACGTGCACGTGCACGTCCACCTCCATGTCCACGTCCATGTCTACGTCTACGTCCACGTCCACGTCCACGTCCACGTCCATGTCCACGTCCACGTCCATGTCCACGTCCACGTCTACTTCTACGTCCACGTCCACGTCCACGTCCACGTCCACGTCCATTTCTACGTCCACGTCCACGTCCACGTCCACGTCCACGTCCACGTTCATGTCCATGTCCACGTCCATGTCCACGTCCACGTCCAAGTCCACGTCCATGTCCACGTCCGTCCACGTCCACGTCCACGTCCACGTCTACGTCTACGTCCACGTCCACGTCCACGTCCACGTCCACAATCCACGTCCACGTCCACGTCCACGTCCATTGTCCAGCAGTCCTCGTGCTACGTCCACGTCCACGTCCCGTCCACGTCCACGTCCAGCATCCACGGTCCATGTCCACGTCCTCGGTCCACGTCCACCGTCCTACGTCCACGTCCACGTCCCCATGTCCATGTCACGTCCATGTCACACGTCCACGTCCACGTCCATGTCCAAGTCCACGGTCCAAGTCCATGTCCACGTCCACCGTCCATGTCCACGTCCACGGTCCACAGTCCATGTCCACGTCCCATGTCCACGTCCATGTCCACGTCCACGTCCATGTCCACGTCCACGTCCATGTCCACGTCCACGTCCATTCTACGTCCCGTCACGTCCACGTCCACGGTCCACGTCCATTTCTACGTCCACGTCCACGGCCTGTCCACCCACGTCTTCCACGTCCACGTCCATGTCCACGTCCACGTCCATGTCCACGTCCACGTCCATGTCCACGTCCAAGTCCACGTCCATGTCCACGTCCATGTCCACGTCCACGTCCACGTCTACGTCCACGTCCACATCCACGTCCACGTCCATGTCCACGTCCACGTCCACGTCTATGTCCACGTCCACGTCCACGTCCATTTCCACGTCCACGTCCACGTCCACGTCCACGTCCATGTCCACGTCCACGTCCATGTCCACGTCCACGTCCATGTCCACGTCCATGTCCACGTCCATGTCCACGTCCACGTCCACGTCCATGTCCACGTCCACGTCCACGTCCATTTCTACGTCCACGTCCATGTCCACGTCCACGTCCACGTCCATTTCTACGTCCACGTCCACGTCCACGTCCACGTCCACGTCCATCCACGTCCACGTCCACGTCCACGTCCACGTCCACGTCCACGTCCACGTCCACGTCCACGTCCACGTCCACGTCCACGTCCATGTCCACGTCCACGTCCACGTCCACGTCCATGTCCACGTCCACGTCCACGTCCATGTCCACGTCTACGTCCACGTCCACGTCCACGTCCACGTCCACGTCCATGTCCACGTCCACGTCCATGTCCACGTCCACGTCCACTCCACGTCCACGTCCACGTCCATGTCCACGTCCATGTCCACGTCCACGTCCCCGTCCACGTCCACGTCCACGTCCATGTCCACGTCCACGTCCACGTCCACGTCCACGTCCACGTCCACGTCCACGTCCACGTCCATGTCCACGTCCACGTCCACGTCCACGTCCATGACCATGTCCACGTCCATGTCCACGTCCATGTCCACGTCCACGTCCATGTCCACGTCCACGTCCACGTCCACGTCCACGTCCACGTCTACGTCCACGTCCACGTCCACGTCCACGTCCACGTCCACGTCCACGTCCACGTCGACGTCCACGTCCACGTCCATGTCCACGTCCACATCCACGTCCACGTCCATGTCCACGTCCACGTCCTCGTCCATGTCCACGTCCACGTCCACCTCCACGTCCACCTCCACGTCCACGTCCACGTCCATGTCCACGTCCACGTCCACGTCCTCGTCCATGTCCACGTCCATGTCCACGTCCATGTCCACGTCCACGTCCATGTCTACGTCCATGTCCACGTCCACGTCCATGTCCACGTCCACGTCCACGTCCACGTCCACGTCCATGTCCACGTCCACGTCCATGTCCACGTCCACGTCCATGTCCACGTCCACGTCCATGTCCACGTCCACGTCCACGTCCACGTCCACGTCCATGTCCACGTCCACGTCCACGTCTGCGTCCACGTCACGTCCACGTCTGCGTCCACGTCCATGTCCACGTCCACGTCCACGTCCATTTCTACGTCCACGTCTACGTCCACGTCCATGTCCACGTCCATGTCCACGTCCACGTCCACGTCCATGTCTACGTCCACGTCCATGTCCACGTCCATGTCCATGTCCACGTCCATGTCCACGTCCACGTCCACGTCCATGTCCACGACCACGTCCACGTCCACGTCCACGTCCACGTCCACGTCCATTTCCACGTCCACGTCTACGTCCACGTCCATGTCCACGTCCACGTCCACGTCCACGTCCATGTCCACGTCGATGTCCACGTCCATATCCACGTCCATGTCCACGTCCACGTCCACGTCCATGTCCACGTCCACGTCCATGTCCACGTCCACGTCCATGTCCACGTCCACGTCCACGTCCATGTCCACGTCCACGTCCATGTCCACGTCCACGTCCACGTCCACGTCCACGTCCACGTCCACGTCCACGTCCACGTCCACGTCCACGTCCACGTCCACGTCCACGTCCACGTCCACGTCCACGTCCACGTCCATGTCCATGTCCACGTCCACGTCCATGTCCACGTCCACGTCCACGTCCACGTCCACGTCCACGTCCACGTCCACGTCCATGTCCACGTCCATGTCCACGTCCACGTCCACGTCCACGTCCACGTCCACGTCCATGTCCACGTCCACGTCCATGTCCACGTCCACGTCCATGTCCACGTCCACGTCCACGTCCATGTCCACGTCCACGTCCACGTCCACGTCCACGTCCACGTCCATGTCCACGTCCACGTCCACGTCCACGTCCACGTCCACGTCCACGTCCATGTCCATGTCCACGTCCACGTCCACGTCCACGTCCACGTCCATGTCCACGTCCACGTCCACGTCCACGTCCACGTCCACGTCCACGTCCACGTCCACGTCCACGTCCACGTCCACGTCCACGTCCACGTCCACGTCCACGTCCATGTCCACGTCCACGTCCACGTCCACGTCCACGTCCACGTCCACGTCCACGTCCACGTCCACGTCCACGTCCACGTCCACGTCCACGTCCACGTCCACGTCCATGTCCACGTCCACGTCCACGTCCACGTCCACGTCCACGTCCACGTCCACGTCCACGTCCACGTCCATGTCCACGTCCACGTCCACGTCCATGTCCACGTCCACGTCCACGTCCATGTCCACGTCCACGTCCACGTCCATGTCCACGTCCACGTCCACGTCCACGTCCACGTCCACGTCCACGTCCACGTCCACGTCCACGTCCACGTCCACGTCCACGTCCACGTCCACGTCCACGTCCACGTCCACGTCCACGTCCACGTCCACGTCCACGTCCACGTCCATGTCCACGTCCACGTCCACGTCCACGTCCACGTCCACGTCCACGTCCACGTCCACGTCCACGTCCACGTCCACGTCCACGTCCACGTCCACGTCCACGTCCACGTCCATGTCCACGTCCACGTCCACGTCCACGTCCACGTCCACGTCCACGTCCATGTCCATGTCCACGTCCATGTCCACGTCCACGTCCACGTCCATGTCCACGTCCACGTCCACGTCCATGTCCACGTCCACGTCCACGTCCACGTCCACGTCCACGTCCACGTCCATGTCCACGTCCATGTCCACGTCCACGTCCACGTCCACGTCCACGTCCACGTCCACGTCCACGTCCACGTCCACGTCCACGTCCACGTCCACGTCCACGTCCACGTCCACGTCCACGTCCATTTCCACGTCCACGTCCACGTCCACGTCCACGTCCACGTCCATGTCCACGTCCACGTCCATGTCCACGTCCACGTCCATGTCCACGTCCACGTCCACGTCCATGTCCACGTCCATGTCCACGTCCACGTCCACGTCCACGTCCACGTCCACGTCCACGTCCACGTCCATGTCCACGTCCACGTCCACGTCCATGTCCACGTCCACGTCCACGTCCATTTCCACGTCCACGTCCACGTCCACGTCCACGTCCATGTCCACGTCCACGTCCATGTCCACGTCCACGTCCATGTCCACGTCCATGTCCACGTCCATGTCCACGTCCACGTCCACGTCCATGTCCACGTCCACGTCCACGTCCATGTCCACGTCCACGTCCATGTCCACGTCCACGTCCACGTCCATGTCCACGTCCACGTCCACGTCCACGTCCACGTCCACGTCCATTTCCACGTCCACGTCCACGTCCACGTCCACGTCCACGTCCACGTCCACGTCCACGTCCACGTCCACGTCCACGTCCACGTCCATTTCCACGTCCACGTCCACGTCCACGTCCATGTCCACGTCCACGTCCACGTCCATGTCCACGTCCACGTCCACGTCCACGTCCACGTCCACGTCCACGTCCATGTCCACGTCCACGTCCACGTCCACGTCCACGTCCACGTCCACGTCCACGTCCACGTCCATGTCCACGTCCACGTCCACGTCCACGTCCACGTCCACGTCCACGTCCACGTCCATGTCCACGTCCACGTCCACGTCCACGTCCACGTCCACGTCCACGTCCACGTCCACGTCCACGTCCACGTCCACGTCCACGTCCATGTCCATGTCCACGTCCACGTCCACGTCCATGTCCACGTCCACGTCCACGTCCACGTCCACGTCCACGTCCACGTCCACGTCCACGTCCACGTCCACGTCCACGTCCACGTCCACGTCCACGTCCACGTCCACGTCCACGTCCACGTCCACGTCCACGTCCACGTCCATGTCCACGTCCACGTCCACGTCCACGTCCACGTCCACGTCCACGTCCACGTCCATGTCCACGTCCACGTCCACCTCCACGTCCACCTCCACGTCCACGTCCACGTCCATGTCCACGTCCACGTCCACGTCCACGTCCATGTCCACGTCCACGTCCACGTCCACGTCCACGTCCACGTCCATGTCCACGTCCATGTCCACGTCCACGTCCATGTCCACGTCCACGTCCACGTCCACGTCCACGTCCACGTCCACGTCCACGTCCACGTCCATGTCCACGTCCACGTCCACGTCCACGTCCACGTCCACGTCCACGTCCACGTCCACGTCCACGTCCACGTCCATGTCCACGTCCACGTCCACGTCCACGTCCACGTCCACGTCCACGTCCACGTCCACGTCCACGTCCATGTCCACGTCCACGTCCACGTCCATTTCCACGTCCACGTCCACGTCCACGTCCATGTCCACGTCCATGTCCACGTCCACGTCCACGTCCATGTCCACGTCCACGTCCACGTCCACGTCCACGTCCACGTCCACGTCCATGTCCACGTCCACGTCCACGTCCATGTCCACGTCCACGTCCACGTCCACGTCCACGTCCACGTCCACGTCCACGTCCACGTCCACGTCCACGTCCACGTCCACGTCCACGTCCACGTCCACGTCCACGTCCATGTCCACGTCCATGTCCACGTCCATATCCACGTCCATGTCCACGTCCACGTCCACGTCCACGTCCACGTCCACGTCCACGTCCATGTCCACGTCCACGTCCATGTCCACGTCCACGTCCACGTCCACGTCCACGTCCACGTCCATGTCCACGTCCACGTCCACGTCCACGTCCACGTCCACGTCCACGTCCACGTCCACGTCCACGTCCACGTCCACGTCCACGTCCACGTCCACGTCCACGTCCACGTCCACGTCCACGTCCATGTCCACGTCCACGTCCACGTCCATGTCCACGTCCACGTCCACGTCCACGTCCACGTCCACGTCCACGTCCACGTCCATGTCCACGTCCATGTCCACGTCCACGTCCACGTCCACGTCCACGTCCACGTCCATGTCCACGTCCACGTCCATGTCCACGTCCACGTCCATGTCCACGTCCACGTCCACGTCCATGTCCACGTCCACGTCCACGTCCACGTCCACGTCCACGTCCATGTCCACGTCCACGTCCATGTCCACGTCCACGTCCACGTCCACGTCCATGTCCATGTCCACGTCCACGTCCACGTCCACGTCCATGTCCACGTCCACGTCCACGTCCACGTCCACGTCCACGTCCACGTCCACGTCCACGTCCACGTCCACGTCCACGTCCACGTCCACGTCCACGTCCACGTCCATGTCCATGTCCACGTCCACGTCCACGTCCACGTCCACGTCCATGTCCACGTCCACGTCCACGTCCACGTCCACGTCCACGTCCACGTCCACGTCCACGTCCACGTCCATGTCCACGTCCACGTCCACGTCCACGTCCACGTCCACGTCCACGTCCACGTCCACGTCCACGTCCATGTCCACGTCCACGTCCACGTCCATGTCCACGTCCACGTCCACGTCCATGTCCACGTCCACGTCCACGTCCATGTCCACGTCCACGTCCACGTCCACGTCCACGTCCATCCATCCACGTCCACGTCCACGTCCACGTCCACGTCCACGTCCACGTCCACGTCCACGTCCACGTCCACGTCCACGTCCACGTCCACGTCCACGTCCACGTCCACGTCCACGTCCACGTCCACGTCCACGTCCACGTCCACGTCCACGTCCATGTCCACGTCCACGTCCACGTCCAGTCCACGTCCACGTCCACGTCCACGTCCACGTCCATGTCCACGTCCACGTCCACGTCCATTTCTACGTCCACGTCCACGTCCACGTCCACGTCCACGTCCACGTCCATGTCCACGTCCACGTCCATCCACGTCCACTTCCACGTCCACGTCCACGTCCATTCCACGTCCACGTCCACGTCCATGTCCACGTCCACGTCCACGTCCATGTCCACGTCCATGTCCATGTCCACGTCCATGTCCACGTCCATGTCCACGTCCATGTCCACGTCCACGTCCACGTCCACGTCCATAACTACGTCCACGTCCACGTCCATGTCCATGTCCACGTCCATGTCCACGTCCATGTCCACGTCCATGTCCACGTCCATGTCCACGTCCACGTCCACGTCCATAACTATGTCCATGTCCACGTCCACGTCCATGTCCACGTCCACGTCCACGTCCATGTCCACGTCCACGTCCACGTCCATAACTACGTCCATGTCCACGTCCATGTCCATGTCCACGTCCATGTCCACGTCCATGTCCACGTCCACGTCCACGTCCATGTCCACGTCCACGTCCATGTCCACGTCCACGTCCACGTCCATGTCCACGTCCATGTCCACGTCCACATCCACGTCCACGTCCACGTCCACGTCCACGTCCATTTCCACGTCCACGTCCACGTCCACGTCCATGTCCACGTCCACGTCCACGTCCATTTCTATGTCCACGTCCACGTCCACGTCCACGTCCATGTCCACGTCCACGTCCACGTCCACGTCCATGTCCACGTCCACGTCCACGTCCATGTCCACGTCCACGTCCACGTCCACGTCCACGTCCACGTCCACGTCCACGTCCACGTCCATGTCCACGTCCACGTCCACGTCCACCTCCATGTCCACGTCCACGTCCACGTCCACCTCCACGTCCACGTCCACGTCCACGTCCACGTCCACGTCCACCTCCACGTCCACGTCCACGTCCACTCCACGTCCACGTCCACGTCCACGTCCACGTCCACGTCCACGTCCACCTCCACGTCCACGTCCACGTCCACCTCCACGTCCACGTCCACCTCCATGTCCACGTCCACCTCCACGTCCACCTCCACGTCCACGTCCACGTCCATGTCCACGTCCACGTCCACGTCCATGTCCACGTCCACGTCCACGTCCACGTCCACGTCCACGTCCACGTCCACGTCCACACGTCCACGTCCATGTCCACGTCCATGTCCACGTCCACCTCCACGTCCACGTCCACGTCTACGTCCACGTCCACGTCCACGTCCACGTCCACGTCCATGTCCACGTCCATGTCCACGTCCACGTCCACGTCCACGTCCACACGTCCACGTCCATGTCCACGTCCATGTCCACGTCCACCTCCACCTCCACGTCCACGTCCACGTCCACGTCCACGTCCATGTCCACGTCCACGTCCACGTCCATGTCCACGTCCACGTCCACGTCCACGTCCACGTCCACGTCCACGTCCACGTCCATGTCCACGTCCACGTCCACGTCCACGTCCACGTCCATGTCCACGTCCACGTCCACGTCCACGTCCACGTCCACGTCCACGTCCACGTCCACGTCTACGTCCACCTCCACGTCCACGTCCACGTCCACGTCCACGTCCACGTCCACGTCCACGTCCACGTCCACGTCCACGTCCACCTCCACGTCCACTCCACGTCCACGTCCATGTCCACGTCCACGTCCATGTCCACGTCCACGTCCACGTCCACGTCCACGTCCACGTCCACGTCCACGTCCACGTCCACGTCCACGTCCACGTCCACGTCCACGTCCACGTCCACGTCCACGTCCACGTCCACGTCCACGTCCACGTCCACACGTCCACGTCCATGTCCACGTCCATGTCCACGTCCACGTCCACGTCCACCTCCACGTCTACGTCCACGTCCACGTCCATGTCCACGTCCACGTCCACGTCCATGTCCACGTCCATGTCCACGTCCACGTCCACGTCCACGTCCAAGTCCACGTCCATGTCCACGTCCATGTCCACGTCCACACGTCCACGTCCACGTCCACGTCCACGTCCACGTCCACGTCCACATCTCCACGTCCATGTCCACGTCCATGTCCACGTCCACGTCCACCTCCACCTCCACGTCCACGTCCACGTCCACGTCCACGTCCACGTCCACGTCCATGTCCACGTCCACGTCCACGTCCACGTCCACGTCCACGTCCACACGTCCACGTCCATGTCCACGTCCATGTCCACGTCCACGTCCACGTCCACGTCCACGTCCACGTCCACGTCCACGTCCATGTCCACGTCCACGTCCACGTCCATGTCCACGTCCACGTCCACGTCCACGTCCACGTCCACGTCCACGTCCACGTCCACGTCCATGTCCACGTCCACGTCCACCTCCATGTCCACGTCCACCTCCACGTCCACCTCCACGTCCACCTCCACGTCCACGTCCACGTCTACGTCCACGTCCACGTCCACGTCCACGTCCACGTCCACGTCCACCTCCACGTCCACGTCCACGTCCACGTCCACGTCCACGTCCACGTCCACGTCCACGTCCACGTCCACGTCCACGTCCACGTCCATGTCCACGTCCACGTCCACGTCCACGTCCACGTCCACGTCCACGTCCATGTCCACGTCCACGTCCACGTCCACGTCCACGTCCACGTCCACGTCCACGTCCACGTCCACGTCCACGTCCATGTCCACGTCCACGTCCACGTCCACGTCCATGTCCACGTCCACGTCCACGTCCACGTCCACGTCCACGTCCACGTCCACGTCCACGTCCACGTCCACGTCCACGTCCACGTCCATGTCCACGTCCACGTCCATGTCCACGTCCACGTCCATGTCCACGTCCACGTCCATGTCCACGTCCACGTCCACGTCCACGTCCATGTCCACGTCCACGTCCACGTCCATCCACGTCCACGTCCACGTCCACGTCCACGTCCACGTCCACGTCCACGTCCACGTCCACGTCCACGTCCACGTCCACGTCCATGTCCACGTCCACGTCCACGTCCACGTCCACGTCCACGTCCACGTCCATGTCCACGTCCACGTCCATGTCCACGTCCACGTCCACGTCCACGTCCATGTCCACGTCCATGTCCACGTCCACGTCCACGTCCATGTCCACGTCCACGTCCACGTCCACGTCCACGTCCACGTCCACGTCCACGTCCACGTCCATGTCCATGTCCACGTCCACGTCCACGTCCACGTCCATGTCCACGTCCACGTCCATGTCCACGTCCACGTCCACGTCCACGTCCACGTCCACGTCCACGTCCACGTCCACGTCCACGTCCACGTCCACTCCACGTCCACGTCCACGTCCACGTCCACGTCCACGTCCACGTCCACGTCCACGTCCACGTCCACGTCCACGTCCACGTCCACGTCCATGTCCACGTCCACGTCCACGTCCACGTCCACGTCCATGTCCACGTCCATGTCCACGTCCACGTCCACGTCCACGTCCATGTCCATGTCCACGTCCACGTCCACGTCCATGTCCATGTCCACGTCCACGTCCACGTCCACGTCCACGTCCATGTCCACGTCCACGTCCACGTCACGTCCACGTCCACGTCCACGTCCACGTCCACGTCCACGTCCACGTCCACGTCCACGTCCACGTCCACGTCCACGTCCATGTCCACGTCCACGTCCACGTCCACGTCCACGTCCACGTCCACGTCCACGTCCACGTCCACGTCCACGTCCACGTCCACGTCCACGTCCACGTCCACGTCCACGTCCACGTCCACGTCCACGTCCACGTCCACGTCCACGTCCACGTCCACGTCCACGTCCACGTCCACGTCCACGTCCACGTCCACGTCCATGTCCACGTCCACGTCCACGTCCATGTCCACGTCCACGTCCACGTCCATGTCCACGTCCACGTCCACGTCCCGTCCACGTCCACGTCCACGTCCACGTCCACGTCCACGTCCACGTCCACGTCCACGTCCACGTCCACGTCCACGTCCACGTCCACGTCCACGTCCACGTCCACGTCCACGTCCACGTCCACGTCCACGTCCACGTCCACGTCCATGTCCACGTCCACGTCCACGTCCATGTCCACGTCCACGTCCACGTCCACGTCCACGTCCACGTCCATGTCCACGTCCACGTCCACGTCCATTTCCACGTCCACGTCCACGTCCATGTCCACGTCCACGTCCACGTCCATGTCCACGTCCACGTCCATGTCCACGTCCACGTCCACGTCCACGTCCATTCCACGTCCACGTCCACGTCCATGTCCACGTCCACGTCCACGTCCATGTCCACGTCCATGTCCATGTCCACGTCCATGTCCACGTCCACGTCCACGTCCATGTCCACGTCCACGTCCACGTCCACGTCCGTCCATAACTACGTCCACGTCCACGTCCATGTCCACGTCCACGTCCATGTCCACGTCCATGTCCACGTCCATGTCCACGTCCATGTCCACGTCCACGTCCACGTCCACGTCCATAACTACGTCCATGTCCACGTCCACGTCCATGTCCACGTCCATGTCCACGTCCATGTCCACGTCCATGTCCACGTCCACGTCCATGTCCACGTCCATGTCCACGTCCATGTCCACGTCCACGTCCACGTCCATGTCCACGTCCACGTCCACGTCCATGTCCACGTCCACGTCCACGTCCATGTCCACGTCCATGTCCACGTCCACGTCCACGTCCACGTCCACGTCCATTTCCACGTCCACGTCCACGTCCATGTCCACGTCCACGTCCACGTCCATTTCCACGTCCACGTCCACGTCCACGTCCACGTCCATGTCCACGTCCACGTCCACGTCCACGTCCATGTCCACGTCCACGTCCACGTCCATGTCCACGTCCACGTCCACGTCCACGTCCACGTCCACGTCCACGTCCACGTCCACGTCCATGTCCACGTCCACGTCCACGTCCACGTCCATGTCCACGTCCACGTCCACGTCCACGTCCACGTCCACGTCCACGTCCACGTCCACGTCCACGTCCACGTCCACGTCCACGTCCACGTCCACGTCCACGTCCACGTCCACGTCCACGTCCACGTCCACGTCCACGTCCACGTCCACGTCCACGTCCACGTCCACGTCCACGTCCACGTCCACGTCCATGTCCACGTCCACGTCCACGTCCACGTCCACGTCCACGTCCACGTCCATGTCCACGTCCACGTCCACGTCCACGTCCACGTCCACGTCCACGTCCACGTCCACGTCCACACGTCCACGTCCATGTCCACGTCCATGTCCACGTCCACGTCCACGTCCACGTCCACGTCCACGTCCACGTCCACGTCCACGTCCACGTCCACGTCCATGTCCACGTCCACGTCCACGTCCACGTCCACGTCCACGTCCACACGTCCACGTCCATGTCCACGTCCATGTCCACGTCCACGTCCACGTCCACGTCCACGTCCACGTCCACGTCCACGTCCATGTCCACGTCCACGTCCACGTCCATGTCCACGTCCACGTCCACGTCCACGTCCACGTCCACGTCCACGTCCACGTCCATGTCCACGTCCACGTCCACGTCCACGTCCATGTCCACGTCCACGTCCACGTCCACGTCCACGTCCACGTCCACGTCCACGTCCACGTCCACGTCCACGTCCACGTCCACGTCCACGTCCACGTCCACGTCCACGTCCACGTCCACGTCCACGTCCACGTCCACGTCCACGTCCACGTCCACGTCCACGTCCACGTCCATGTCCACGTCCACGTCCATGTCCACGTCCACGTCCACGTCCACGTCCACGTCCACGTCCACGTCCACGTCCACGTCCACGTCCACGTCCACGTCCACGTCCACGTCCACGTCCACGTCCACGTCCACGTCCACGTCCACGTCCATGTCCACGTCCATGTCCACGTCCACGTCCACGTCCACGTCCACGTCCACGTCCACGTCCACGTCCATGTCCACGTCCACGTCCACGTCCATGTCCACGTCCATGTCCACGTCCACGTCCACGTCCACGTCCACGTCCACGTCCATGTCCACGTCCATGTCCACGTCCACACGTCCACGTCCACGTCCACGTCCACGTCCACGTCCACGTCCACGTCCACACGTCCATGTCCATGTCCACGTCCATGTCCACGTCCACGTCCACGTCCACGTCCACGTCCACGTCCACGTCCACGTCCACGTCCACGTCCACGTCCATGTCCACGTCCACGTCCACGTCCACGTCCACGTCCACGTCCCACGTCCACGTCCATGTCCACGTCCATGTCCACGTCCACGTCCACGTCCACTCCACGTCCACGTCCACGTCCACGTCCATGTCCACGTCCACGTCCACGTCCATGTCCACGTCCACGTCCACGTCCACGTCCACGTCCACGTCCACGTCCACGTCCATGTCCACGTCCACGTCCACGTCCACGTCCATGTCCACGTCCACGTCCACGTCCACGTCCACGTCCACGTCCACGTCCACGTCCACGTCCACGTCCACGTCCACGTCCACGTCCACGTCCACGTCCACGTCCACGTCCACGTCCACGTCCACGTCCACGTCCACGTCCACGTCCACGTCCACGTCCACGTCCACGTCCACGTCCACGTCCACGTCCATGTCCACGTCCACGTCCACGTCCACGTCCACGTCCACGTCCACGTCCATGTCCACGTCCACGTCCACGTCCACGTCCACGTCCACGTCCACGTCCACGTCCACGTCCACGTCCACGTCCATGTCCACGTCCACGTCCACGTCCACGTCCATGTCCACGTCCACGTCCACGTCCACGTCCACGTCCACGTCCACGTCCACGTCCACGTCCACGTCCACGTCCACGTCCATGTCCACGTCCACGTCCATGTCCACGTCCACGTCCATGTCCACGTCCACGTCCATGTCCACGTCCACGTCCACGTCCACGTCCATGTCCACGTCCACGTCCACGTCCACGTCCATGTCCACGTCCACGTCCACGTCCACGTCCACGTCCACGTCCACGTCCATGTCCACGTCCACGTCCACGTCCACGTCCATGTCCACGTCCACGTCCACGTCCACGTCCACGTCCACGTCCACGTCCATGTCCACGTCCACGTCCATGTCCACGTCCACGTCCATGTCCACGTCCATGTCCACGTCCATGTCCACGTCCACGTCCACGTCCATGTCCACGTCCACGTCCACGTCCACGTCCACGTCCACGTCCACGTCCACGTCCACGTCCACGTCCATGTCCACGTCCACGTCCACGTCCACGTCCATGTCCACGTCCACGTCCATGTCCACGTCCACGTCCACGTCCACGTCCACGTCCACGTCCACGTCCACCCCACGTCCACGTCCACGTCCACGTCCACGTCCACGTCCACGTCCACGTCCACGTCCACGTCCACGTCCACGTCCACGTCCACGTCCACGTCCACCTCCACGTCCACGTCCACGTCCATGTCCACGTCCACGTCCACGTCCACGTCCACGTCCACGTCCACGTCCATGTCCACGTCCACGTCCACGTCCACGTCCACGTCCACGTCCACGTCCACACGTCCACGTCCATGTCCACGTCCATGTCCACGTCCACGTCCACGTCCACGTCCACGTCCACGTCCACGTCCACGTCCACGTCCACGTCCACGTCCATGTCCACGTCCACGTCCACGTCCACGTCCACGTCCACGTCCCACGTCCACGTCCATGTCCACGTCCATGTCCACGTCCACGTCCACGTCCACGTCCACGTCCACGTCCACGTCCACGTCCACGTCCATGTCCACGTCCACGTCCACGTCCATGTCCACGTCCACGTCCACGTCCACGTCCACGTCCACGTCCACGTCCACGTCCACGTCCACGTCCACGTCCATGTCCACGTCCACGTCCACGTCCACGTCCACGTCCACGTCCACGTCCACGTCCACGTCCACGTCCATGTCCACGTCCACGTCCACGTCCACGTCCACGTCCACGTCCACGTCCATGTCCACGTCCACGTCCACGTCCACGTCCACGTCCACGTCCACGTCCATGTCCACGTCCACTGTCACGTCCATTTCCACGTCCACGTCCATGTCCACGTCCACGTCCATGTCCACGTCCACGTCCACGTCCATGTCCACGTCCACGTCCACGTCCATTTCTACGTCCTTGTCCATGTCCACGTCCACGTCCACGTCCACGTCCACGTCCACGTCCATTTCCAGGTCCACGTCCACGTCCACGTCCACGTCCACGTCCATGTCCAGGTCCACGTCCACGTCCACGTCCACGTCCACGTCCACGTCCATGTCCACGTCCACGTCCACGTCCATGTCCACGTCCACGTCCACGTCCACGTCTCGTCCACGTCCAAGTCCACGTCCACGTCCAAGTCCACGTCCATGTCCACGTCCATGTCCACGTCCACGTCCACGTCCACGTCCACGTCCATGTCCACGTCCACGTCCATGTCCACGTCCACGTCCATGTCCACGTCCACGTCCATGTCCACGTCCACGTCCACGTCCATGTCCACGTCCACGTCCATGTCCACGTCCACGTCCACGTCCACGTCCATGTCCACGTCCACGTCCACGTCTACGTCCATGTCCACGTCCATGTCCACGTCCACGTCCAAGTCCACGTCCATGTCCACGTCCACGTCCACGTCCACGTCCACGTCCACGTCCACGTCCACGTCCATGTCCACGTCCATGTCCACGTCCACGTCCACGTCCACGTCCACGTCCACGTCCATGTCCATGTCCACGTCCATGTCCACGTCCACGTCCATGTCCATGTCCACGTCCACGTCCACGTCCACGTCCATGTTCTACGTCCACGTCCACGTCCACGCCACGTCCACGTCCATGTCCACGTCCACGTCCACGTCCATTTCTACGTCCACGTCCACGTCCACGTCCATGTCCACGTCCATGTCCACGTCCACGTCCACGTCCACGTCCATTTCTACGTCCACGTCCACGTCCACGTCCATGTCCACGTCCATATCCACGTCCACGTCCACGTCCACGTCCACATCCACGTCCACGTCCACGTCCACGTCCACGTCCACGTCCATGTCCACGTCCACGTCCACGTCCATTTCTACGTCCACGTCCATGTCCACGTCCACGTCCATGTCCACGTCCACGTCCACGTCCATGTCCACGTCCACGTCCACGTCCATGTCCACGTCCATGTCCATGTCCACGTCCACGTCCACGTCCACGTCCACGTCTACGTCCACGTCCACGTCCATGTCCACGTCCATGTCCACGTCCACGTCCACGTCCACGTCCACGTCCACGTCCACGTCCACGTCCTACGTCCACGTCCATGTCCACGTCCACGTCCACGTCCATTTCTACGTCCACGTCCATGTCCACGTCCACGTCCACGTCCACGTCCACGTCCACGTCCATGTCCACGTCCACGTCCACGTCCATTTTTTCCACGTCCACGTCCATGTCCACGTCCTTGTCCATGTCCACGTCCACGTCCACGTCCACGTCCACGTCCATCCACGTCCACGTCCACGTCCACGTCCACGTCCACGTCCACGTCCACGTCCAGTCCACGTCCGTCCACGTCCAAGTCCACGTCCATGTCCAAGTCCACGTCCATGTCCACGTCCATGTCCACGTCCACGTCCACGTCCACGTCCACGTCCACGTCCACGTCCACGTCCACGTCCATGTCCACGTCCACGTCCATGTCCACGTCCACGTCCATGTCCACGTCCATGTCCACGTCCATGTCCACGTCCACGTCCACGTCCACGTCCATGTCCACGTCCACGTCCACGTCTACGTTCATGTCCACGTCCATGTCCACGTCCACGTCCAAGTCCACGTCCATGTCCACGTCCACGTCCATTTCTACGTCCACGTCCACGTCCATGTCCACGTCCACGTCCATGTCCACGTCCATGTCTATGTCCACGTCCATGTCCACGTCCATGTCCACGTCCATGTCCACGTCCAGGTCCACGTCCACGTCCACGTCCACGTCCATAACTACGTCCACGTCCACGTCCACATCCACGTCCACGTCCACGTCCATGTCCACGTCCACGTCCACGTCCACGTCCATGTCCACGTCCATGTCCACGTCCACGTCCACGTCCACGTCCACGTCCACGTCCATTTCTACGTCCACGTCCACGTCCACGTCCATGTCCACGTCCACGTCCACGTCCATTTCTACGTCCACGTCCACGTCCACGTCCAAGTCCACGTCCATGTCCACGTCCATGTCACGTCGACGTCCACGTCGACGTCCATGTCCACGTCCACGTCCACGTCCACGTCCACGTCCACGTCCACGTCCACGTCCACGTCCACGTCCACGTCCATGTCCACGTCCACGTCCACGTCCACGTCCACGTCCACGTCCACGTCCACGTCCACGTCCACGTCCATGTCCACGTCCACGTCCACGTCCACGTCCACGTCCACGTCCACGTCCACGTCCACGTCCATGTCCACGTCCATGTCCACGTCCACGTCCATGTCCACGTCCACGTCCACGTCCATGTCCACGTCCACGTCCACGTCCACGTCCATGTCCACGTCCACGTCCACGTCCATGTCCACGTCCACGTCCATGTCCACGTCCACGTCCAAGTCCACGTCCACGTCCATGTCCACGTCCACGTCCACGTCCACGTCCATGTCCACGTCCACGTCCATGTCCACGTCCACGTCCATGTCCACGTCCATGTCCACGTCCATGTCCACGTCCACGTCCACGTCCATGTCCACGTCCACGTCCACGTCCACGTCCATGTCCACGTCCACGTCCACGTCGACGTCCATGTCCACGTCCACGTCCACGTCTACGTCCATGTCCACGTCCATGTCCACGTCCACGTCCAAGTCCACGTCCATGTCCACGTCCACGTCTAAGTCCACGTCCACGTCCACGTCTACGTCCACGTCCATGTCCACGTCCACGTCCATGTCCATTTCTACGTCCACATCCATGTCCACGTCCACGTCCATGTCCACGTCCACGTCCACGTCCATGTGCACGTCCACGTCCACGTCCATGTCCACGTCCACGTCCACGTCCACGTCCACGTCTCGTCCACGTCCAAGTCCACGTCCACGTCCAAGTCCACGTCCATGTCCACGTCCATGTCCACGTCCACGTCCACGTCCACGTCCACGTCCACGTCCACGTCCATGTCCACGTCCACGTCCATGTCCACGTCCACGTCCATGTCCACGTCCATGTCCACGTCCATGTCCACGTCCACGTCCACGTCCATGTCCACGTCCACGTCCATGTCCACGTCCACGTCCACGTCCACGTCCATGTCCACGTCCACGTCCACGTCTACGTCCATGTCCACGTCCATGTCCACGTCCACGTCCAAGTCCACGTCCATGTCCACGTCCACGTCTACGTCCACGTCCATGTCCACGTCCACGTCCACGTCCATTTCTACGTCCACGTCCACGTCCACGTCCACGTCCACGTCCATGTCCACGTCCACGTCCATGTCCACGTCCACGTCCACGTCCACGTCCAAGTCCACGTCCATGTCCAAGTCCACGTCCATGTCCACGTCCATGTCCACGTCCACGTCCACGTCCACGTCCACGTCCACGTCCACGTCCATGTCCACGTCCACGTCCATGTCCACGTCCACATCCATGTCCACGTCCATGTCCACGTCTACGTCCACGTCCATGTCCACGTCCACGTCCATGTCCACGTCCACGTCCACGTCCACGTCCATGTCCACGTCCACGTCCACATCTACGTTCATGTCCACGTCCATGTCCACGTCCACGTCCACGTCCACGTCCATGTCCACGTCCACGTCCATTTCTACGTCCACGTCCACGTCCATGTCCACGTCCACGTCCATGTCCACGTCCATGTCTATGTCCACGTCCATGTCCACGTCCATGTCCACGTCCATGTCCACGTCCATGTCCACGTCCACGTCCACGTCCACGTCCATAACTACGTCCACGTCCACGTCCATGTCCACGTCCACGTCCACGTCCACGTCCATGTCCACGTCCATGTCCACGTCCACGTCCACGTCCACGTCCACGTCCATTTCTTTCCACGTCCACGTCCACGTCCACGTCCATGTCCACGTCCACGTCCACGTCCATTTCTACGTCCACGTCCACGTCCACGTCCAAGTCCACGTCCATGTCCACGTCCATGTTCACGTCGACGTCCACGTCGACGTCCATGTCCACGTCCACGTCCACGTCCACGTCCACGTCCACGTCCACGTCCACGTCCACGTCCACGTCCACGTCCACGTCCACGTCCACGTCCACGTCCACGTCCACGTCCACCACGTCCACGTCCACGTCCACGTCCACGTCCACGTCCACGTCCACGTCCACGTCCACGTCCATGTCCACGTCCACGTCCACGTCCATGTCCACGTCCACGTCCACGTCCACGTCCATGTCCACGTCCACGTCCACGTCCACGTCCATGTCCACGTCCACGTCCATGTCCACGTCCACGTCCAAGTCCACGTCCACGTCCACGTCCATGTCCACGTCCACGTCCACGTCCACGTCCACGTCCACGTCCACGTCCATTTCTACGTCCACGTCCACGTCCACGTCCATGTCCACGTCCACGTCCACGTCCATTTCTACGTCCACGTCCACGTCCACGTCCAGTCCACGTCCATGTCCACGTCCATGTTCACGTCCACGTCCACGTCCACGTCCATGTCCACGTCCACGTCCACGTCCACGTCCACGTCCACGTCCACGTCCACGTCCACGTCCACGTCCATGTCCACGTCCACGTCCACGTCCACGTCCACGTCCACGTCCACGTCCACGTCCACGTCCACGTCCACGTCCACGTCTACGTCCACGTCCACGTCCACGTCCACGTCCACGTCCACGTCCATGTCCACGTCCATGTCCACGTCCACGTCCATGTCCACGTCCACGTCCACGTCCATGTCCACGTCCACGTCCACGTCCACGTCCATGTCCACGTCCACGTCCACGTCCATGTCCACGTCCACGTCCATGTCCACGTCCACGTCCAAGTCCACGTCCACGTCCACGTCCATGTCCACGTCCACGTCCACGTCCACGTCCACGTCCATGTCCACGTCCACGTCCATGTCCACGTCCACGTCCATGTCCACGTCCATGTCCACGTCCATGTCCACGTCCACGTCCACGTCCATGTCCACGTCCACGTCCACGTCCATGTCCACGTCCACGTCCACGTCCACGTCCATGTCCAGTCCACGTCCACGTCTACGTCCATGTCCACGTCCATGTCCACGTCCACGTCCAAGTCCACGTCCATGTCCACGTCCACGTCTAAGTCCACGTCCACGTCCACGTCTACGTCCACGTCTGTCCACGTCCACGTCCATGTCCATTTCTACGTCCACTCCATGTCCACGTCCACGTCCATGTCCACGTCCACGTCCAGTCCATGTCCACGTCCACGTCCACGTCCATGTCCACGTCCACGTCCACGTCCACGTCTCGTCCACGTCCAAGTCCACGTCCACGTCCAAGTCCACGTCCGTGTCCACGTCCATGTCCACGTCCACGTCCACGTCCACGTCCACGTCCACGTCCATGTCCACGTCCACGTCCATGTCCACGTCCACGTCCATGTCCCGTCCATGTCCACGTCCATGTCCACGTCCACGTCCACGTCCATGTCCACGTCCACGTCCATGTCCACGTCCAGTCCACGTCCACGTCCATGTCCACGTCCACGTCCACGTCTACGTCCATGTCCACGTCCATGTCCACGTCCACGTCCAGTCCACGTCCATGTCCACGTCCACGTCTACGTCCACGTCCATGTCCACGTCCACGTCCACGTCCATTTCTACGTCCACGTCCACGTCCACGTCCACGTCCACGTCCATGTCCACGTCCACGTCCATGTCCACGTCCACGTCCACGTCCACGTCCACCTCCACGTCCATAACTACGTCCACGTCCACGTCCATAACTACGTCCACGTCCACGTCCACGTCCAGTCCACGTCCACGTCCACGTCCACGTCCACGTCCACGTCCACGTTCCATTTCTACGTCCACGTCCACATCTCGTCCATGTCCACGTCCACGTCCACGTCCACGTCCACGTCCACGTCCAT